CTGTAAGATCTAGGTGCCTCTAGGATTCTCACTACAGTTATCTACCCTAAGTTCATGATCATCCATGAGTATTTCTGCTTGTCCCACTTTGTTAGAGTCTTAACAGTAGGAAAATGAAAGATCAGTGAACAGGTCTGGCCTAGAAGCTGTATAAATACCATATGATAGCTCTGCCTTCAGTCTCCTAAAGTAAGGGAAAAGTATTCACAGTTCTTTAACTAATAAACTACACTATAATCACTGAAGAAGTGTATAATCCAAAGGCTTTCTAACCGTTAATAAAATGATCACAAGATTAGGAGAATTTTCACTAACTATAATAATAATAATGCACTTAAGGTCATAATGGGAAGCTCCCTGTCTTGAGTGACATGGCTGAGCAATGCATAAAACTCTGGCACAAGGTCAATAATCACATGGGAAATCTTTCAAGGGGCACATTGCATGCTTTGTGTGCCCACTTGAGTGCTTTCTCAACTTCAACCAAATATACTGTTATGGAGCTGGGTTGCTTGGAGGGGCTTCCGCGAGTCTGTACATATGCCAAAATTCTAAGCAAAATTTGGAAAGTGCATATGTTTTTTAGAAAAGAGATTTCAGAAGTCCAAAAATAGTTAAGAAGCCCCTCTACAGGAACTTTACTTACTAATTCATGACCATATCCTTCCTCCTTGCTTTTCCTTTCCTCCTTGCCCCATTTTTACTTATTTTAACTCCAGATATAATTTATGAAATTGTTAGTTTTTTCCAAGATATATAGTATCCATGTCAAGAAGAGCAAAGTAAGAAGGTCACATTGATATAGCAAGTTTTTTTTTTAACACCTGTACTTGGCCAAGGGAAATACTCAGTAAACATTTGGTGATGGAAGGAATGAACTATCTATTAAAAACAACAGGACCATTCAGCTGTTAAACAAACCTCAGGTTTGGGTTTGATTTGCTGTCATTGTGTTCACAACCTGGCTTTTTTAAGAGCTACAGATGAAGGAAGGAACTCATTTTAATTCTGAATTTAAATATTACAATAGATAGCAATTAGCACAGACATCAAAGGAGTAGAAAAAATTTCATCATTATGAGGAAAAGGATGTTATTTTAACCAAAGTAAAATCATCAGATGCAAGCCTATTATAGCAGCTTCTAATAAAATAAAGCCCAGTAAAATGGGTTAAATTACCTCCCTAATATTAAACAAATGATTTTATAGAGCTTTCTTGCTGTAACTGAGTGTGAGGGCAAGTCATGGCACATTAGGGCTTCTGTTACTGCATTCCATGACAAAGACAGAAAAGAAACAAATAAATGTCATTGTGATCCCACCAGTATTTATGGAGCTGCCTCACTTTCTAAAACCATTCACACATGTTCTCATTCCTTTATTAGATTGAAAGTTATATCCAGTCAGGTTGGGGATGTTTGAGTCTCCAGCGTGCAGCCCACTGGGATCTATATTCTACTGACTACATAACATGTGTGGCCCTTGAAAATTTTTAGAGCCAAGATGGTGTAGCTATGAGAAAGAGTATTTGAATTTTCATCTCATTTCATTCCTCTCCTATTAATACTAGGATCAATCACTGTAATGGAGTTTTCATACCATTCAACGTAACTGTCTTTAGCACTGGAAGACAAATTATAAGGTCCTAAACTAGTTTGGAGCTAGTATGCAGGAACAGCCTTTCATCCAAGGGAATTACCTGTAATTATTCAATGCCTTAACTGTTAAAAATTATTGAACCTCAGCAAAAGTACATAATCCTTTACAAGAAAGAACGAAACAGCTTACAAATGAGGTGACATCTCTGTTTAAAGGCCAAGGACGGCAGTGCAAAATAATTTGGGATGGGAAGTGAAGCTTACCTTAGTTCAGGGGAACTCGAAGTTGTCAAAATGCAATTATCCCTGCTGAAATTTGGTCAGGCCAACATCTGACACTTCCAAGGAATGCCAAAGGCCTTTTTAATGAACATGAGGCCTCCAGATTGGATTTCATCTCAATTCAAAGTATAAAGCCTGCACTCTGAGAATATAGAGTGCAGAGATGTTAATTAGTTCACTACTGTCAGGTTCACAATTTCCCTCCTAGAGATTAATAAATCTAATGCCTTCATTTCATAGAAGGAAACTGAGATCTGGAAAATATCATGCAATAAAGAAACGAGTTAGTAACTTTGCTTTTGTGCACCCTTTTATGTTCCTAAGTCCCCACATTTCTCAATTCAACAACTACTTATTGGTTCCTGGATTGCAACAGGCCCTTGCTGGAATCTTGTAGAGAGATGAAGGATACCTGGTTTCTGCTTTCTGACAGTTGCAACTCTGGTTGGAGGGATTGATATGGACACAAGTAATTTTTCAGAAGGCAGAATGTGCAGTGAGCTAAAGAGCATTTACAGGGCCATGGGAATATGCCAGAGGGAAAGAGTCCCTCTCTGGAGGAATGTGGGCGAGATCTCTGGGGGAGGTCTGTCTTTCTGTGTTTCCAAAACCCCACCACAGCTTCCTTCTAGGTTTGTCCTCTTGGTCAGGGTCTCTGCTCTGCCATTTCTGAGACCTAAATCTTATTCAAAATTTAAGACAGGTCTCAAATTCATTCTTTTGAAATTTGCTGAATTTTGGCTTGGCAGTAGGGATGGATCCAGATTTTGTGAGAGCTTAAGTATATACAATTTGGGGGACCCCGTTTAAGAAAAGAATACACTGTTACAGATACAACCTTAGGTCCAAACACAAATCTTGCAAATATTTATTTAGAATAAGAAATGAGGCCAAATGTAGTGGCTTACACCTGTAATCCCAACACTTTGGGAGGCCTAGGTGGAAGTATCACTGAACCTAAAAGTTTGAGATTAGCCTGGGCAACATGGTGAGACCCCATCTCTACAAAAAATTGTTTTTGTAAAACAAAATTAGCCAGGTGGTGGTGGCATGTGCCAATAGTCCCAGATACTTGGGAGGCTGAGGTGGGAGGAGCACTTGAGCCTGGGAGGTTGAAGCTGTAGTGAGCCGTGATCATGTCACTGCACTCCAACCTGGGTGACAAAGCTAGACCCAGTCTCAAAAATTATAAAATAAAAAAGAAAAGAAATCACAAAAAAATTGTTGTGACCTTAGAAGTTACGTCTCTTTCTTCTTAAGTCTCTGTCAATCCGCAAGAAATGCTTACACAGAAATCGTTCCTGATTGCTACCTGGCTTTCATCCCTCCACCCCATCCCCAACACTCTGCAGCTCCTCCACCCCATCCCCAACACTCTGGAAACTCCTCTCTCCAGGTGTTTGTGCAAGTGAGATATTTTATTAGCTTCACAGTAAATCTGCCTTTCTTTGGGCAGATGACTGGCTCAAGGTCACATAGTCAGTAAAGTGGTCAAGAGAGGACTGGAACTAGGGTTGCTTGAGAGAAATGAGTATGAATTTTGGATCACATAGAGCTAGGTCCAGTCCTGGCCCAGGCACTAACTAGCTGTGTGACTTTGAAAGTGACTTCTCAGTTTCACTTTCTTTCTCTCTTATAAAGGGATGATAATAATAACCTCATCGGATGGGCACAGTGGCTCACACCTGTAATCCCAGCACTTTGGGAGGCCACTATGGGTGGATCACGTGAGGTTAGGAGTTCAAGCCCAGCCTGGCCAACATGGCAAAGCCCTGTCTCTACTAAAAATACAAAAATTAGCCAGTGTGGTGCCAGATGCCTGTAATCCCAGCTACTTGGGAGGCTGAGGCAGCAGAATCACTTGAACCTGGGAGGCAGAGGCTGCAGTGAGCCGAGATCATGCCATTTCACTCCAGCCTGGGCAACAAGAGTGAAACTCCGTCTCAAAATAAGTAAATAAATAAATAAGCTCATAGGGCTGCAAAGTACCTGAACTGCTTACTACCACTCCTGACTTGAAATAGTGCTCAAGAAATTGTTAAGTGTCACAAAGATTACTTCTTTTTCCCAGTAAGTATCTCTTCTTCCTTGATAATAGAATTTATAAAATGTACTAGGCACATTATAAAATGTGCCTTGACTAGGATGTCAAGATCACATTTCTCACCCTGTGTAGGAGTTAGATTTGGCCTTGTGACTAAGTTTTGGACAACAGTGTATAACAAGAGCAATTTATCCAACTTGTAAGAAGTGTCCTTAAAGTAATAGGGTGCATCCTTCCCAACCAGTCTTCTTTCCTGATGGTGAAGAAGCAGCAGCCATGTTATCCCATGAGATGACATGAAGAATAGAACTAGATAACAGCAGAAGACAGATAAAAGACAGATAGAGCCTGGGTCCCTGACACTATAGAACTTCATATGGCTCCAGACCTACTTGTAATTTACATGGAAGTCAAATTTCTACCACATTTAATCCACTGTTATTTTAGATCTGGAACCACTTGTAGCCAAAACAAGTTCTAAAATGTATTGAATCATATCCTTTTTTCACTTTGCTATGCCAGTTTGTAATGTTTTTCCCTGTTGTTAACCTTGCCAGGTATGCCTGGAAATTTAAAGGATATTGAGTCCTTAAACTGAAATGCCGTTAACTTGAAAAAGCCAGTGGTGAGATTTTGGCCCTATGGCAGACCAAGGAGAGTGGCTTGTTTGGAAGGGCCATTCCATCCAACCCCACTGGTAGTTATAGGCAAGATGACCTGGTTTCATCATGATTATCGGCAGCAGCAGTAGTATTACTATTGCAGTAAGAGCAGTTACCATTTACCAGATGCTATCTGCCTAGCAATAAAATATCTAATTAACACATTAAGTCCTCACAAAACTCTACATAGCAGGTGTGATTATCCCTATTTTACAGATAAGGCAAGTGAGACTCAGAGATGTCAAATGACTAGTCTGAAGAAAACAAGTGACTTATTAATGGCAGAGATGACCTGAATCCAAATCTCAGTCTAAACCCCCAACCCCTTCATAATGGCACCTTACTTTCTCCATGGGCACAAAATAAGACCTGGTAAGAATGAGCTTGTATAGAATTAATGTAATCATAAATGTCTAGTAAATCAGTTCCGAAATGTTTATTATATCATTGTAACAAGCTAACAAGCATTGTAACAAAACTTAGTGGCTTACTCAACAATATTATATCTGATGATTAAGAATTCTGGCAGGTCTTGGCTAGGCACTTCATTTCACATGGCATTGACTGGGGTCACTTAGTGACCTTCAGCTGGTGGCTGGGCTGGTCTGGTCTGGAGTGTCCAAGTGAGTTGCACTCACATGCCCAGCATCTCAGCAGGGCAAACTGGAAGGCTGGGCTCAGTTGGGCCTTTTACTCTCTCCATGTAGTCTCATGACCACTTCACATGGCATCTCCAACAGGGTAGTTGGTCTTTTTACATGGTGGTCCAGAGGTCTAAGAACAGGTGTTCCATGACAGAGGAAGAGGAGGTGAAGAGTATCCTAAGGCTTAGAACCAGGAAACTAGAAGTATAACTTTTCCCTTATTCTATTGATCAAAGCTGTCACTGAGCCACCCGAAAGCAGTGGAGGGGCACATAGACCCCACCTCTTTATGAAAGAACTATCAAAGACTTTGCAGTCAACTTCAGTCCCTTCCAATACTAAGCCTGTTGAAGGAAGTTTCACAGAAATAGGAAGGCAGCTAATTGGGCCATTTGAAACCTGTATTTGTTTGCTATAGCTGCCAAAACAAAAGGCCACACACTGGATGTCTTCAATAACAGAAACCCATTTTCTCATAGTTCTGGAGGCTGGAAGTCTAAGATTAAGGTGCCAAACAGGTTGGTTTATTCTGAGGCCTCTCTCTCCTCAGCTTGCAGATGGATGTCCTCTTGCTGTGTCCTCACAAGGTCTTTCCTCTGTGCATATGCAACCCTGGTGTCTCCCTCTTCTTATAAAAAATTAAGCACATTGAATTGGAGCTCCACCCTAATGCCTCATGTTAAATTAATCATCTCTTTAAAGACCCAGCTCCAAACAGGGTTACTTTCTGGGGCACTGAAGGTTGAGACTTCAACATATGAATTTAGAGAGGACAAAATTCAACTCATAACAAATGTCAAATCTAAGGCCATTATATCAGTGGAAAAACTGAGGCCCAGAGAAAGAAAATGGCTTGCCAAGGTGACACAATAGAACTCACAACACAGCATGAATGCTCTTTCTCTCACAGTTCCCTTCCAACACATCGGATGATTCCAAGAGATGTCCTGTCTTACAGGAGGTAGGAAACAGAGTACAGAGACAGGGGACACCAAGAAAGGCTCAGCATTAGGGCCAGAGATTTCTCTTTTTCTCTTGAAATTTCAGGCTTCTCCCAGTTGTCTTTATTCCAAGTCATTGGGTTCACAGGCTTCTCAACAGCCCCAGATCTCTGGCCGGTCTCTTCCTTTCTCCATTTATTGGCTGACATTTCCAGGGTTCAGGTCACTATTTAGATTCTGTATCACAGCAATATTGGAGAATATGATGTCCTTGTTTCTGCCTTAACATAGATCTGTCAAGACTTTGGGAACATCTCCACAGTGATTTGCATACTCAGACCCATTCTGGGACTCTGAGTCATCGCATTAGTGCCCCCTAATTTGAGTGTATACCCCATCTTTGATTTGCAGCTCTTAGATTTCAAGAATAACCTGCATCTTAGAAGTGAATTGGCCTATGTTCTGTCAAGGCCTCTTCAAGGATACGTCTGCTATCTTCTAAGATGGAGGTGGGGGAAGAGGAGGCTCCAGAAGTCGTTTAAGCCTCCCTAGAACATAGGGCAATTGGTGATCACCATTCTTCAGTCTCTCCTTGCATAGCAATCTATGCTGCTATACTGGATAAAGTTAGAAAACAAGTCTTCCCAGAGATAAAAAAGGAGCAGTTTAATTCTAACTCATATAGGAAAATTATAGTAAGTTTCTATTATATAGCAGTCAAGGTGTCGGGAGAGGGGGAAGCAGTATAGTTAGGTGAGACTGGCTTGCCGCAATACTCTAACACACACAAACTGCAACAAAAGCAAACATGTATGTATTCAGAAAGGAAAAAGGCAAGAGGGGGTAAATGTAGTCCAGTGCTTAAAAGCATAAACTTTAGATCTGAACAGCCTGAATTTTAATTCCTCCTCTACTACTTACAAGCTGTGTGACTATAGCAAAGTTGCTTAACCACCTAAAGTTAGTTAACCAACTTTCCTACATTTTGGGGAAGTTTGAGTCAATCACCTAAAGCAGTGGACCCAGAGCAATTCCCCTCAAAGGTTGTCTAAGTAAAAAGACACAGAGCTGAAAACCAATTTTAACAGAGGACCACAGTACTAAGCTAACTCATGGAATAACTGGTATTTTCCAGATAGCTCACAGGGAATTTTCAGAAAGCATAAATACTCTAGTACCATACAGATAAAATCCACATGATTATCAACTCTATGAACTTTATATTCCCCTGCTATAAAATTATGGAGTGGTCCAGAATGGTCTGCAAGTCCTTTCATCTCTGTGTTTCAGGGATCAAATGAAGATGTTGGGGTCTCAGATGCGAAGTCATGGACAATGCTTTTCTACCAACTGAAAAGAGAATCAGGCCAGGCGCAGTGGCTCATGACTGTAATCCCAGCATTTTGTGAACTCAAGGCAGGCAGATAATTTGAGTCCCAGAGTTCGAGACCAGCCTGGGCAACATGGCAGAACCCTGTCTCTACAAAAAATACAAAAATGATCCAGGTGTGGTGGCATGCAACTGTGTTCCCAGCTACTCAGGAGGCTGAGGTGGGAAAATCACTGGCGCTCAGGAGGCAGAAGTTGCAGTGAGCCAAGATGGAACAACTGAATTTCAGCCTGGGTGACAGAGCAAGACCCTGTCTCTAGAAATAAATAAATAAAAATAAAAAGAGAATGTTTTCCAGGATTGATGAAGAGGGAAAAAGTAATTTAGAGAGAAAACCCTGCATATTATAACTATTTACATTTCTTTGCCGAATTGATGGACAAAATGCCATTTGGGGATGAAGAGGAAGCAGAAATGTGATGTGTTACAGAAGCAAAGCCCTTGAGCTTGGGGAATGTCGGTAAAGTTTACCATATGCCTTGAGTGCGGGGCTTCTATAGGATTAATAAATGCCTGTTTGACAATGTTCTCAGTGAACTAAGAGATAAGATCCCCCTGCCTCCTCATTTTCTATCTCTCACTTATTTCCTGATCCCAATCTAGTGTTTACTCCTCCTTTTGCAAGCAGTGGAGTTCTGCCAGTAGGAACACCACTAACTAAGGGCCTTTAGAAAAGCTAGAGCCATTCTTCTGGCCTTCATTTCTTGCCAGAATCCTTCTACTCTCGTTTCCATAAGGCACTCTTGTCTCATCCTATTACTTCCACTACTTTTAGAATGATATCACCTCAGTGAGGTACCATCTTTTCTCTCCTTACAAAAGAAAACAGACCTAGTTTCTTTAACCTTTCAGCAGCAGCAAATTCCCCAAATCCCTCTGTCATTCTGGTTGCCTTCTGCTATGCTTTCTCTAGTTCCAAAATATCCTATTTTTAGAAAGAAACCCAGAATGAGCTTAGGACTCAGAATATGACCTAACCAATCCTCTTTACATGACTAGAATAATTTTCCCTGACTTTTCCATTTTGCAATGTGCTCAACTTATTCCAAACAGATTCTCTCTTTTTTTACTCCAATAGGTACAAAATGATAAATGTTCAAACTATAGCCAGTGTTACTGATAATAAGAGGTTGATGTCCACTGTGCTTAAGAACTTTCTAGAATTAATGGGTTCAGGAGCAAATTAGAGTTTGTGGTTTGTGTAACACTACAGTTAAAAGAACAGGTCTTTTCCTTGAATTATTTTTTTTTACATAGCATTCACTTCCGTTACTAAAGAGATTAGCTTATTTTCATTGAAGCCATAATGCAGATGAAACCATAGGCTGGGGCAGCAAATTTTAGTATTTTGCTGTGAAAAAAAAATGTGGCACAACCTCATATCACCTGGGAATTTGTTGAAAATGCCAAATGTTGATGCTGACCCCAGACTTAGAATCAAAAGAGTTGCCCAGGAGATTCATGTGCACATTAAATTATAAGAAGCACAGTTTAACATCTGTGAAAATTTCCCTCCAACTGTTCTAAAGAGATTAGATGTCAAGCATACCTTGGTAGGCACCATCATGATGTAAACTCGGCTCCTTTTACTAGTTTTCAATTGCCTTTTCATGATCCTAAGTTTTGTGAGTCCTTGGTGTTTTTATTTCTCATTTTTTCCAATTCCTAATATGAACTTACATTTACTTAAGTACATCTTGCAAGTCCTGACCTGACATGCTCTTGACCCATCTTAATCTCCTGTCAAGCTTTCATATTAACAACGTCACTTCTCTCTTACTTGCTACCCATACTTCCTCTTATTCATCTCTTGTCTGTAAGATGGTGTAGAAAGAGTCATTCAGTTCTTCCTCAGTATTCCGTGTGGTCTTGCTTCAGCCTCATTATAAGGTTGTCTGGTTTTCTGAAATTGAGTTAAGTCATGTCCAGATCTTCTGCCTCATGCTTGCTTGTCAGGATCAGGAACGCACAGAGGTTATTGCAAACTAAATCATGACTTTCCCAAAGCTTTCTCCTGCTTGCTTCTTTTTGAAGTTCTGATTGTTTATAACTAAACTAGGTTTGGTAGATTGAAGATTCTTTGAGTTCTTTTTAAATATGAGCTAAACATCAGGTTCTTGGCAATCATTGCCCATTCTTGTTTTCAGAAGGCTTTCCAAGTTGTGCGTCGTGATTCTTTTCTTCTCCTATTACCTGTGGAGAACCATTAGAGATCAGGAAGTGACTAAGAGAGCCAATCTTTCTTCCTACCTGGTCAGAATCACTTCTTATATCACAAACAGAACTCTTTTGCTACCTGTTTTTTGTTTTCTTAGGCTCAAAGATAGAAATTATGTCACCGTTGGGAGCTTCTCTGTGACTACTCTTCTTTGTTGATTATAACAAGTGATCCTGAGGTAATGAAGGGGATGGCACTGTTGACCTCTCAGCTATTATTAAGCAAGCATTCTTCACCTCTGAGAATCTGAGAGCTTTAGGTAGGGAATTGTTGAAATGTGGATCACTAGTCCCATCAGAATGCCTGGCACAGAATAAGTACTGAAGAGAAGAAAAGTAGGAGGAGAAAGGAAGGATGGAAATAATCTATCCAACACCAGGTGAGATGCAGAGCCTGGAAATTAACTACAACCAAATAGATTTGGAAAGAATAGTTGGGAGAAGAGAATGGAAGTACTATCTCATCTTTGTTTTTCTTGATATGTAGTAAGGAATACACAAACCATCCTATAAAAGTGAGTTACTGAATTTCCTTTTAGAAACAAAGACAGTAGACTCTGTCTTAAGAGGTACTCCAATTATTTCTTAGTTGTCTAAGAAAAAGGAGTTCTTTTTCATTTCTGGCTTTGTTACCCATCTCCCATCAATTCCAAGACTTGACACATTTACTTAGCGATGTTCTTGTGCCTCCTAATATTGATGAGCCTTGTATTAATTATTGAACCTATCTTCATAAAGATGTGGGCAAAGAACAAGGTTTATAACTATGGTATAGGGAGTAAACTGAATATTAAACAGCTCATCCATAAGGAGCACAACACCCATATTTTGAAAGCAAAAATCCTTCTGGGTTGTACTTATACATTTTACTTTAAGTTTGGTTATGTTGTTAGGTGGTGATCTTTAAGGAACAAGATCTGTTCGCTATTCAGTCTGAAATGTTCTTACCGTTACTAAATATGAATGGGGTCAAATGAACCTAGAGAAGTGTGATATTCATATCATAACTGATTGGGGTTGAATGAAAAAAATAAGATAACCTCAGGAATAAATGCTACTGAGATTAAAATTGTGGCAGTTACAGTGCTTGGCATCTATCTTAACAAATGAAATGATTGCAACCTTTACTTATATTAGACACTGGATTTCTGCAGATGGAAAAAAAGAAAATACGTAGGTGAGTGGATGGAGAGTTGAGAGTTGATAGTGCACCAAGAGAAGAGAATTGTCTAACAGATCACTGAGAAATCCAGAGCACTACTAGGTATATATAGATATATGGCAAACACTGTTATCTTCACCACTCTCCCTAGCTCCCTATATCAACCCTCATTATTTAGCAACTCTTGTCCATCATTCTGATCCCTGAGTTGGAGATTTTAGTAATGGCTACAAAAAATAAGGGCAATGGTCAAATATATTTCTTTGGAAATATCTTCAATACAATCATGTGTTTAAATAATTTCAAATGAACCAGTCATTCATGTTCTGAGTCCTCAGGCACCTACACCAACAATTCAGGATATCTCACTGTAAGATATAATTTCCAGAATAAAGATCCATCAGAGGAGTAGCTGATAGTCTCTATACAGACCACAAACTGTTGACAAAAGAGTCAGAAAAATATATCACATTGATGGCAATGGGGAACAATATGTTCATATACAGTGGTCATCTCCTTATGTCCTTTCAAAATTCCAGATCTGTGCTAGTCACTGAATTTGTCAATAGGCAAGGAAAATTATTAATAGCATTATGGATTACATTCTTAAAAAACCAGTTTTGCCCACAAAACCTGTACCCCAAAACCTCTGAGAGTGGTATGTACCAACTGTCCCAGTCTTAGGGCAGCATCTGCTGGCTAATTCATGGATGGACAAAAAGTGGCAGTTTGTGGGCAATATGAGCAGTCCTTTTGGTTGGCGAGAACTGTTGTGTTGATGACTGTAAGGGTGTCTGAAATCCTTTAATGATGACCTATCTCAGGTCTCCAGGAGCCTGACAAGTCTAGAACTATTCCTAATGAGAACCAAGAAGCATTTGTATACAGATACCTTATTTGGAGCCTGAAATAAGCAGGTTTGACTGGAAACATCTCTAGAGAGGCATGAACTCAACACTGGACTTACAGCTAATAATAGTAACCCAGTACCAATGGGGGCTCCAAAGAAGAGAGGTCCATGCACATAATTGAGAAGTAAAGCTTATTTTCCATAAGGAAGGCATTTCTGGGATGGGAGGGGGAGGAACTTGAAGCAGCCATTGAATGCTAGTGTTGTTTCTGTTGCTTCTAATCATCCTATCGTGTAAGTGAGATTTTTATACATCTCAAGCAAGAATGATATTCAAATAAAGCACTTTTGATTGTAATAAAGAAACTGGAAATTGGAAAGGGCTGGGTGGTCTGAAACTTAAGAGCTATCCACCATCTTCTGCAGCATCGCTGTGCCTCATCCCTGCAGTCAATAGCGCCACGGCCAGGGCCTGTGACGCCGTTGGTGGACTCCCCTTGGTGGGAACTCAGAGGGCGTAAAATCATGGTGTCAGTGCCAAAACGACGAAACCTGAAATGCGTCTGGGGACTTCCCAGGGCACTAGCGCTCCTCAGAGCGACGGGTATCTCCATAACAACTGGTCTACATTCATCCTCAGTTCCTCTGCTCGGCTGTGCTAGCGAGGGCTGGGGGTAGGCAAAGGGCAGCTTCACTGGAAAGATACCTTGCGTTAGCGCCTCCCTAGGCTGGGGGGGGAACGTTGCCAAAGCTCGAGTTATTGCCTATTTCCCGAGATTTCCGGAGTCGTCCCCACGTCTCCCACGGAGAGCGGCGCCCCTCCCCCACCCGCTCCCGCCTCCCCCTCTATTTGACACTCCAGGGGGGTGGTTTGTTTTATTGTGCTTTTTTCCCTCTTCTCAAAGTTCATCCTTTCGCCTCCAAGTTACTTTCCGCCAACACGTGACCTCTCCGCTTCCCAGCCTGCGCAGCCACTGGTGGGGAAGTGCGGGCGCGCTAACCGCGGGGCTTCCTGGGAGAGCCCCTCCGAGGCTCGCCACCCCAGCCCCGGCTCCCGCCGCGCTCACCCTGGCACCCCGGCGGCGGGGCAGCCCCCGCAGAATGCGGAAGCGATTCCGGGGAAGCAGCAGCAAGCGGCCGCGGAGCGCCCTACCTGCCGCCTCCCCTCCCCTCCCCGCCTTGGCCCGCGGCTCCGTTCTCAGCGTCTCGCCTTCCGACCTAGCTGCGCACCGGGGCTGTTAACTCACATTCGGGAAGCCATAACCCATTAGAGCAAACGCAGTCATAACTTCATTCAACTCAGCCGCTTGAGAGCTCGGCTTACACAGGTTCCTGTGGGCAACTAGTGGCTCGCCTTGGTGTCTCTCGCCTAGTCATCAGTCCCTAAGAGGAAAAGGGAAAGTTGTTGGGCTGATGCGCGCTTCTACGCATGCAGTTGTTCCCAAGGACAAGTCACTTACTCGCCCCCCTACCCCCCAGCCCCCATTTGATCATCACTCACGACCTCATCGGCTGGAGACCCTTAGTCATGATGAGGGGGGAGGGGCACGAACTTTTCTAAGAAGTTTCTTTTTTTTTTTTTTTTTTTTTTACCCAGGGAGTCACAGTGAGTCGGTCACGTAAACAGTGCAGTTAGTCGTCGCCGTTGCCGCCCCCCACCCCCTCCCTGCTGCGCTTTCCTGGTATTATTATTAAAGCGGTAGCCTGCTGTCGCTGATAAGCAACAAGTTCCCCAGCGGTCTTCCCGCCCTAGCCTGACCAGGCGAAGGTTTTCTTACCTGGCGACAGGGAAATCTCCCGAGCCGAATTCAGCTTCGCCGGAGCCCCAGGTGTGACCTGGGCAGTGGGCAAGGGAGCGGTGTGCAGGCTGGGATTTTGTTTTTGTTTTTTACGGGGGTACCCTGAAACTCCTCACTTTCTCTGGGAACTTTCTGTGCCAGGACCTAGTGACGGGCGGTTAGAAGGCAGCCCTAGGAAACACCCGCTACAAAGCGGGGCAGTTGGGCAATCATTGGTAACCTCGCTCATTCATTAGAATCACGTAAGAACTCAAAAGGAAGCGTGTTTTTCGGAGTGAGGGCGTTTGCGTAAATCTATAGGTTTTTCGACATCGATGCCAGTTGCTTTGTCTTCTGTAGTCGCCAAGGTGGTTGAGAGTTTAAGCTTGCGGATATTGCAAAGGGTTATTAGATTCATAAGTCACACCAAGTGGTGGGCGATCCACTGAGCAAAGCCGAACTTCTCACATGATGACTTCAAACAAGACACATTACCTTCCAGCATCTGTTGGGGAGACGAGATTTTAAGACACTTGAGTCTCCAGGACAGCAAAGGCACAATGGTGAGTAGCAATAAACCCTGCATTATAATTGAAAAATCTTGACATGTTGCTTAACAACGGGCATATCACGGTTCTTCCTAGCACTTCACACGCCAAAGAACAGCAGCTACTCAGGCCAGGGGAATCGGGTTTTTACACCGTGCAACTTTAATTGGAATCATTTGAGATTTAACACAGCTATGTGGAACTGCGTGGAACAAACTTGGAGCTGGGGTGTGTATGTGTGTGTGTGTGTGTGTGTGTGTGTTATATTGGCTGTTCAACGCTGATGCTTATGTTTCAGCCGTCTTGCATTCCATTCTTTTTCTTTATGTGTATGGTGTATGATCATATTCTATGATTTGTATGTGGGTATGTAATTGACATTTGCAAGGAGGTTAATTTCCATCTAAAAACAATAATGCTGTTAAGAGGTTGGGGTTAGGCGGTGGAGTGGGGTTAAGGGTGGGGTAGAGACTGGGAGTTTAGGTGTAGATGTGGGGGGTGAGTTGGGGGAGAGAAATAAGTCAGAAGTGCATACCACCGGTAATGAAATGGGTAATCCTCTCGTAGACGAAAAGGTTCTCATCAACATGTGATCAACTATTAACAGGATGGCTTTGGCAAAGCCATCCGCACGTGACAAAACGTAAGGAAGTGGAAGAAACCGTCTAGAGCAATATCAAGTATCACTTAATTAGAGATTTTTAAGCCTTTTCCTCCTGCTGTGCCGGGTGTGTAATCGGGACGATCGGAGGCCATTCAGCACCTTGGACAGAGCCAACGGATTTGTCCGAGGTGGCGGTACCCCAGGTAGTCTTCTTGGCCCCGCTGTAAAGCCAACCCCGTGTCGCCCTTAAAAAGCGTCTTTTCGGAGGTTCGGCTCACACTGAGATCGGGGCTGGAGAGAGTCAGATTTTGGAGCGGAGCGTTGGGAAAGCGAGCCCCAGTTTGGTCCCCTCATTGAGCTCGCTGAAGTTGGCTTCCTAGCGGTATAGGCTGGAATAGACTCTTGGCAAGCTGCGGGTTGGTATACTGGGTTAACTTTGGGAAATGCAAGTGTTTATCTCCAGGATCTAGCCATCGGGGTGGTGTAAGCCGCAAAGAAGGTAAGCACCGGGGCGGGGACCCCCAGCATCCCCAATTCTTGAGCTATTTTGATACTCTGTCTTCCGGAGAGGACGCGTGGTGGAGGGGAGGAGGTAGAGAGGGAGCAAGAGAGGGGGTTGTTTCTTGGTATTTGCCCAGTTTGAATTGCCCTAGGTGAGAACCCTGGGGCAAAGCGAGAAGGAAGAGAGAGAGAGAGAAAGAGAGAGAGAGAGAGAAACTCAGTCTTCCTGCGGATATAATGAGTTTAGTTAACTTGGACCTGCAAATGTCTGATTCAAATGTAAGATTTATCTCTCTTTTTCTCCCCTTCACCTCCCTCTTTTCCGTTCTCTTTGCTGCTGCTGCTGCTGCTGTGTGTGTGTGTGTGTGTGTGTGTACAGTAGATTCATTACTAATTATGAAGCTTTTGCACAACATTCGATTTCCTAAAATTGGACTTTGTAGCATTTAGAATCAGGCGGTGGAGGTGGTGTGCGGTGGGGAAAAAGGAGGTGGAGGTTGGGAAGAGGGAAGGAGGTAAAGCTAAACCTCCACAAAATGAATCAAGGTAATTTCAGCTCTTCTAGTGAGAAGGATTCATTCTCTCTGTATCCCTCCCTCCCTCTTTTCCCCTCCCTCCCTCCTTCCCGCCCCCCATCTTCCACCCCGCCCCCTCCTCCAGCCTCCATCCCTCCCTCATTCTATCTCTTCCTCTCCGTCGCCCTCGCTCCTCGCTGGATGTTTCTTTCTGTCTTCCCCCACCCCCCTTCTGTCCTCCCTCCCCGCGAGTTTCGGGCGCTGGCTTAGAGGGCTCCCGCTTTCTCAAGGGAAGGGGAGCTGCCGAGACCGCGCTCTGCTCCTCAGCCGGGCCAGATGCCTCACTGAGCCCAGGTCCGAGTCAGTCGGGGTAACTCAGGGAAACGGGGGCCTCCGCCTGGGAGTAGAAGGTCCTTTCGGGACCGAAGAGCCAGGGAGCGGGCCGGGCAAGGGGGTCTGGGCGGCTGGAGGCGGTGGAGAAGAAAACTCGTAGCTCCGTGCGGCGGCTGGACAGAGCCACCAATCAGCTGGGCGCGCAGACAGCCCTGCCCCGGCGAGGTTGCGTCCGGAGGCACCGGTGGAGAGCGGCCGGCTAGTCGCTGAGCCGCCGCCGCCACCCGGGTGGGCCGGGGAACTGGAGAAGGGTGGATGTCGGGGGCTTGCGGGTGAGACAGAAGCGGCGCGGAGCCGCCCAGTCGTGTGTTCTACCTCTCCCGCCCCCCGCCTGCACCCCCGGGGGACCGCGAACTGCTTGAGCGCGCGGCTGTGTTGTCCTCTTGCCATTCTTCGGGGAGCTCAGGGACTTACGCGCCCCTGGGCGGGGGCCAACAGCTTCTCCACACTCCTATAACCCTCACCCCCACCCGCTTCTCAGGCCCTTTGTTCCGGCCACAGAACGGTGCCCGGCGGCAGTTTTCGCCCCAGGGCTTGGTCGTTCTGGACTCCTCCCCGGATCAGCTCTTCTTGATTAAAAGGCAAGAGCTTGGTGTAGGGGTGAGGGGAACGTAGGGAAGAACCTATTTCCGAAACTCAAGACTCGACTGTTTTAACGAACGAAAGAAAGAATCCCAACTCTGCGCAGGTGGATTCATAGGCGACGCGAGGATATTGTGGAAATTTAGAAGGAAAAAATAAAAAACAGGCGCTAGGATCAGATGACTGCGATTGGTTGCTCGACACACAAAGGGAGCGTAGGGCAGGGTTTACGGAGCAAGCCTGCAGCGAATGGGGCACAGATTGTTCCGAGATCCAGTCGTTTTCTCAGTCAGATCTACGCGCAGGGAGGGGAGGGGAGGGGCGCGCAGGGGAGCGTGGCGGGAGGGGCTGGGCTTGGGGGCGGGGGGATTTCTGATCAGTCTGATGCAATTCCAAGCGTGCTGCAAAGGAACTCCAAGGCGCCCGCATCACCATCGCCACCCACCCTTCCCAGATGGTGCTGTTTTAAATACGGATCTGCAGGGCCGAACGCAGAACTGGGAGATTTATTGCAAAATCCCGGGAAGGTGGGGGGGGGGGGGGGACGGGGAATGGAGGAGCAGAATTTAAAGGTGCAATGCTTGCTTTTTCCAATCAAGCGGCAACCGGTCGGAATTATTATTTTTTTCTTTCTGTCTGCTTGTCTCTGGATTCTAATTCACCAAGAAAGAGGTGTAAATATTGTGACATATTGAGGCAGCTTGATGGATGGGAAAAAAATCATCTGTCACTCTAAATTGCAGAGTTCCCTCTTCCCGCGCCATCCATCCCTTGCTAGCGAATACTCGCTGCTGCCTAATACAGTTGCTAGGGCTTCAAATGAATGCATCGTTAAGGGAATATTATCCTTTTAGTTTACTTGCCAATTTATCTGACAGTTGAACCGAGAAAATTGTAGATTTCGTGTCTCTGGGAGGAAGAATGCTTAACAGTCTAAGTCTTGTAACCTTGAGTTATTTAATAACTTAAATAAATCTCAAAAGTGTCACGTCATCCTCTACACTCACACATACACACATACATACACACTCGACTTATAAGGTGACATGGTTTCACCTAAACTGCTGTGGGAATGAATGTCACTTTAAGAATGGTACACCTGATAGTCACTGTTTATGTGTATTTACAAAGAGCTCTTCAGCTTGAAGGCAAGACATTTCAATTGTCCTGTTTGGAATGGGTCAGAAGACTGGAAGGTGACAGAGAGAAAGGGAAGAAAGAGGAAAGAAAGAGAATTTTAACCTAGCTGCTACTAAATTAACAGTAACCTAGCCTACTTTTATACCCTTGGATTTATATATATAAATAATAATATATTAATATTTCTGTATGTGAGATTTTAGCTTGGTCTATCTTCCCCAATGGAGTATACCAGTATTGATTCAGATGAGAATATGTGTGTCCTGCCAGTAGCTTTTTCAATGTCATTGATAGTAAGACCTACAACACAGCAATTTTTCGAGGATAGAAGAAAATGTCTTTAAGGGCTTTGCATACTAGGAAGCAGGCGCTCCATAAATGGGAGGTATCATTATGACATTTGCATATAGCATTTTCATTTGACTGAACCAGAGTATTAGTTATTTTA